CCCCGGCCTGACCCTGCAGCGGCCACCGCCCGGGACCCCCTCACCAGGATGGGGGTGCCGGACACAGGCTCCTTCCCGGTGTCCTCGGTGCCACCGTGGTGGTTTTTGGGTGACAGGGGGGTGGTGCGGTGCCACAGGGTGTCCCCCCTGGCTGGGCTGGGGGTGGCCCTGTCCCTGGGAACGGGGTGGCAGCGGGGTGATGGTGGTCGTGTCCCCGCAGGAGCCGTCGCTCTACACCGTCAAAGCCGTCATCATCCTAGACAACGATGGCGACCGGCTCTTTGCCAAGGTGAGGGGCAAGAGGGGGTGACAGTGACACACAGGGTGCGGGGATGGGGACAGGGATGGGGCACCGCCCCAGGGAGACGTGGGGACAGGGGGACACAGCCGTGGGGATGCTCGGTGGCACTGGGAGGGCTGGGACGTGATACAGGGCAGGGACACAGAGACCATGGGGAGCACGTTGGGGTGGCGTGTGGCACAGACAAGGGGACATTTGGTGGCGCAGGGCAGGGACAGGGGCGTGGGGACAGGGTTGGTGGCCTGGAGCAGGGTGATGGGAGCTCCTTGGGGCAGGGGGAGGGTGTCCCAGGTCCCCACGTGCCACTGTCCCCGCAGTACTACGACGACACGTACCCCAGCGTCAAGGAGCAGAAAGCCTTCGAGAAGAACATCTTCAACAAGACCCACCGCACCGACAGTGAGTGTTTCGGGGACGGGGACGTGTGTGTCCCCGGGGGGGGGGCTGCCACCCCCGTGGGGGTGTGCAGGGGGGCCACGGGGGTGACGCCCGGCTGTGTCCACAGGCGAGATTGCGCTGCTCGAGGGGCTGACCGTCGTCTACAAGAGCAGCATCGACCTTTACTTCTACGTCATCGGCAGCTCCCACGAGAACGAGGTGGCTGGAGACACCCAGGGGTGGGGTGGGGGACACAGCCAGGGGTGCCAGGGCAGGGGAGGACACCCAAGGGTGGTGGGTTGGGGACACCCAAGGGTGGCAGGCTGGGGACGTGGAGGGATAACGGGACAAGGAGGGGGGTATCTTGGTGTACCAGGGCAGGGAACACAGAGGGGATGTGCAGAAAGGTCCCAGGACAGGGAGGGGACATAGAAGGTGCCACCAAGGCGGGGGGGGGGGCCACCTCGGGGTGCCCCTGTCTGGCAGTGCCACTGTGTGACCCCGCTGTCCCCCAGCTGATGCTCACGGCCGTCCTCAACTGTCTCTTCGACTCGCTCAGCCAGATGCTGCGGTACGATGGGTCCTGGGAGGGCACACAGGCTCCTGGGGGGCACCTGTTGTCCTAGAGGGGTGGCACCTGGGGTCCTGGGGGG